GTCCTCGCTCGCTGTGTCTTCACGTATTCAGGCAGCATCCGTTCCCAAAAAAAATGAAAATTTAGGTGGACACCGTCGACAGAGTGACCATACTTTTTATTTATTTATTTATTATTATTTTTTTCTAATTAGGACTCACACACATTTGTCTCTTCTGAGATTTCAACCTCTGACCTCCTTTGGGAGGTAAGAGGGAGCTGATATCGCTATACCACTGGCCCATTGATTACTTCTTAGTCCGTTATTGAATCAATATCCAATTTCGTAATTTATAGGATATCTAATTCAATATCCAATCCAATAACCCTATTAGTTAACAAGTATATTTTTATTAAAAAAATTTAAAATACATTAGGAAAAAAAAAAAAAAAAAAAAAAAAAAAAAAAAAAAAAAAAAAAAAGTGAGAAAGAAAGAGAAGGGCAAAAAAAAAAAAATGTACAAAAACAGAGTAGAAATTAGACATTTGTTTTTAGTTCACACACAGACAAACCACAAGAAAGACCAGAAAAAAATAATAAATAAATAAATTTCAATAGAAGGAAGAAAATTGATATAATTAAGAGTTCCAATACTATGCATAATAAAGTACACAACATTTTTGATTAATTTTTTCATCAATTCCACAGCAATTGAATGATAGGTAATATATGTATAACATAATATATATTATATTGGTTGGATCAAAAAATTATTAACGGATTCGAACTATCAAAATAAATATTCAATTCATATCCAACTTATCAAATCAAATTCGGACCGGATTGACAGGCCTGCACACACAAAGCCAATTGAATTATATGTAATATATGTATGCACAATAAATTCATCAGCCCACAGTGTAGGGTCTATGCATGGCTGTTTAATATGTCACAGACTTAGACCTTTTCAAACTTAGGTGTAGCCTTAGATTCATTCAAACCCCCTTTGATGCGGAGCGTAATATTTAGTTAGGAAACTAGTGAGAATTAGAATGACCATATTTGTTGTGTTGAATTAACTCAGAAACTAGATTAGTGAGAGCTAGAATGACCCTCTCCTCTAAAAGCAATAAAAGTAAATATGAATTAAGATAACTTGAAAGAAATAAATGTGCCTTAACTTGCAAACAGTTTTTCATTAATAAATAATTTGCACTAGGGAAATGTTTGTCAAAGCCCAAAACTTTAACAATAGCTTCCCATTCGCTTATGTTACGTTTGGTGTGCAGGAATAGAATGGAATACAAGTGGGAATGGAATGGTCATTCTCATTCTATTGTTTAATTGTAAATATGAAATGTGTAGGAATGAAATGATAATAACTATTCTACTGTTTGGTTGGACCAATTTAAAATTTAGAATGGAATAAATTTGTAATTGAATTCTCCAAAATATCCCTCTTAGTAACAAATAAATTAAATTAAATTAACAAAATGATATTCTCTAATAATTTTTTAAAAATAAATAGTTTGGTGGATGGTGGAAAACAGTAGTAGTGTAGGTGGTGGTGTTGGAAGGTGGCGGTGGTTGCAATGGTGGAAATTGGTGGCAGCAGTGGTGGTGGAAGGCGGTGGCAGTAGTGTGGTGGTTGTGGTGGAAGGAGATAGTGGTGTGACTATGGTGGTGGTGGAAGGCAGTGGAAGTGGCGGTGGTGGTGGTGGTGGAAGGTGGTGAGGATGGTGATGGTGGTGGAAAGCGGGCGGCAATGGTGGTAGTGGTGGCGGTGGTGGTGGTGAAAGGTGGTAGCGGTGGTGGAAGGTGGTGGTGATGGAAGGTGGTAGAAGGCGATGGCAGCGTTGTTGGTGGTTGTGGAAAGCGGCGGCGGTGGTCGTGAAAGGTGGTTACGGCGGTGGTGGCGGTGGGGGGCTGTGGCGGTGGCGGTGGTGGAAGGTGGTGGTGGTAGTGAAAGGCAGTAGCAGTGGTGGTGGTGGAATGTGGTGGCAGTAGTGAAAGGCAATGGCAGCGGTGGTGGTGGAAGGTGGTGAAAGGCAATGGCAATGTTGGTGGTGGAAGGTGGTGGTGGTAGCAGTGATAAAAGGCGGCGATGGTGGTTGTTGCAAACGGTGGCGGTAGCGGTGGTTAAAGGCGGTGGCGATAGTGGTGATGGTGGTGAAAGGTGGTGCTGGTGGTAGTGAAAGGCAGTAGCAGTGGTGGTGGTGGAAGGTGGTGGCAGTGGTGAAAAACGATGGCGGTGGTGGTAGTGGAAAGTGGTGGGCGATGGTGAAAGTTGGTGTTGGTGGAAGGCAGTGGTGGTGGTGGTGGTGGTGGTGGTGAAAGGCGGAGATGATTGTGGACTTGGAATATGAGAGTGTTTTGAGAAGTCGATTTTTTAAAATAAATTACTTAGGAATGAAATGATCATTCCATAGGTTTAGTTATGGAATGGATTTTCATTCTCAGGAATGGATTTTCATTCCAATGGAATGACCATTCCCATTTTAAGTTACATACCAAACAAATGAATGGTTGGAATGGGCATTCCATTCCATTTTATTCCATTCCTCCACACTAAACGTAGCATTAATAACATGCTGAATAACTTAGGATATAGTTTGGGATCATGTGGTCCTCGCCTAATATAATCATTTTTTTCTCTTTCTCGATACATAAACATGTGGCGGTCCAACCCTTTGTCTCTTTCTTGATTAATAGACATTTGACGGTCCAATATGATTTTAGCTTTACCTCAGCCATATAAGCTGGGTTGTTAATAGGATGTGAGTTTTATTTGCCATTAAAAAATATAAATATATATATATATATTGAAATAGAAATGTAATGTTGAATAGGTCACCCTAAAAGCTGTCTTTTTTATTGGCTTCAAGAGGAAAAATGGTGTTTGAGTCTACAAAATTCTTCCACAAGTTTTGAAAAAGGGCAATAAACAAATTAGACCGCTTTTGGGAGTCAACAGGGATATAAATTTCGCTTGACTAACCATCATGTATCACAATAATTGTACGACTTTGTAAGCTTTATGAAGTGAATTAATATTTGGACTAATAGGAAAAAATGTGCAATTCCGAGGGCTCATAGACTCTAAGGGCATGTTTGGCTAACGCTTTTGCTTTGTTTTTGTTAATGTATGGTAGTAAAGTAAAAGTTCGAAATATGTTTGGTAATATTTGCTGTCATTATAAAATTTTATGTGTGTTTTTGCACTATAACAAAACACTGTTAAAAAAAATATATATATTTCTAAATTAACATATTTAATTAGCCATTCAATTTTTCAAACTTGAAACATTTTTTACCAAACATGCTTTCACGTTTTTTCTTTCAAAAATCTTGTAACAAATTTAGGTTACTAAACAAGTTTCGAAATAATGTTGAATACACTCTAAAGCGGAAACATTTCTTCTACTTTGGGTCAAAACAAAAGCATAAAACAATTGTGGTTACCAAACGGGCCTAAAAGTTTGTCTTTCTGTTGAAAGAACTCCAAAAGAATTATTAAATCATGTAAAAATTATAAAATAAAGAATGTGATTTGAACAACGCATCAAGAAAAAGAACAAAAAGAAGATACAGGCTTGTGTTGTTTTTGGACTTCTAAGTCTAATTTGTATTTTTAAATTTACAATAAAAGAAAATTTCACAAATAGGTCGTCATGTCCTCATCGCTGTGTCTTCACGCGTCCAGGCAGCATCCGTTCCTAAAAAAAAAACAATCCAATAACCCTATTTGTTAACAGGTACATTTTTATTAAAAAAAAAAAAAAGAAAAAAAAAAAGGGTGAGAAAGAAAGCGAACGGCCAAAAAAAATGAACAAAAACAGAGTATAAATTAGACATTGATTTTTAGTTACACACAACCGAAAAGCCCTAAGTAGTGAAAAAAATAAAAATAAAAAATAAAAATAAAATCAATAGAAGGAAGAAAACTGACATAATTAAGAGTTCCAATATGATGCATGATAAAGTAAAAAACATTTTTGATTAATTTTTTCATCAATTGCAGAATGATAGGTAATATATGTACGATATAATATATATTATATTGATTGGATCAAATTATTAATGTATTCAAACTATCGAAACAAATATTCAATCCACATTCTAGTCATCAAATCAGATTCGGATTGGATTTGGTTCCAAATCCAATTCGTTGAGAGACTTGCACACATCATTTTGCACATTTTACTGTATCATTTGAAAAACAGGTGATGATAGTGGGTGGACCTCACAAAAAGAAATTATTCAGTTGTTGGGAGTATGACAATGTAGTACCAAAAAAAAAAAAAAAAAGAGTAATTCATTCTAATTTTAGGAGTGAACGGTTACAATTAAATTCTCTTCTCATTACTACCTTTGAATTACTAATCGGTATTCACATTTCTATCCTCGCACCGTATTCCATCTGGTGTTGACGTAGAACTGACGTGACTATTGACTTGTCAGACAAGAACCGAGCCCAATTGGTTGGGAAATGATGATATGATAGGCATACAATCACAAGGCTCACAAATGTTCGTGTCAATGGGCATCAACTTGTTTACTATTTTCTATTACATTTTTGCATTCATATTTTTGTACTCATATTTTTGTACATCACTGTCACTGGTATCTCTATAGCAGATGATCAGCTAAGTCAATGCCAGTCAATCAATGGAACCATGACCTTAGTGTCTGCCGGAAAAAAGTTCCGGCTGGGCTTCTTCAGTCCCGTCAATTCCAGAAACCAATACTTGGGAATATGGTTTGGCAACATCCCATACCAAAAAGTAGTCTGGGTTGCTAACCGCAATAACCCAATTAATGATTCATCTGGAATTCTGAAGATTGGTGATGATGGAAATATGATTCTTCAAGACCATACAGAAAGAGTTGTGTGGTCTACTAATATTATCAAGGAGGATTCATCATCAAAATCAACTACTGTTGCACAGCTCTTTGATATTTTTTTAATTTAGGACACGTGTGGTATTTTTGTTGGGCTACATCACCTAGCAGAGGAACTTATTTGTTTCTCTCAACTTTGGGATTCTGTTGTATTATTTAGACTTTCACAGGTTTGACTTCAGTCTCTACTTTTGAATTACTGGTTTTTGGCCATTTTCTTTCCAATTACTGTATTCCACATGCAGCAAAAATTGACTAGATTTTGTATATCCAATCACAGAAGACTTGGGAGACAAGAGCATAGCCAATGTCCTTAAATTAGTTAGGAAATGATAGTATAATAGGCATAGCATCACAAGACACAACTGTTTGTGTCAATGGGCATCAACTTCGCTAAATTATGTTACATTTTTGCTTTCATATTTTTATACCTTACAGATATCTCCCTAGCAGATGATCAGCTAAGTCCATACCAGCCAATCAATGGAAACGTGGCCTTAATATCTGCCGGGAAAAAATTCCGGCTTGGCTTCTTCAATCCCAAGAATTCCAGAAACCAGTACTTGGGAATATGGTATGACAGCATCCCAACTCAAACCGTAGTCTGGGTCGCAAACCGGGATAACCCGCTTAATGATTCATCAGGAATTCTGAAGATGGGTGATGATGGAAATTTGATTCTTCAAGACCGGACAGAGAGAATTGTCTGGTCTACTAATATCAAGGATTCATCGTCAAAATCAACTGTAGCACAGCTCTTGGACTCGGGAAATCTTGTTTTGAGACATGAAAGCAGAGATGGTTATATTTGGCAAAGCTTTGATCATCCTTCTGACACCCTGCTAGCAGGGATGAAGCTAGGAAGGGATTCAAAAAATGGTTTGGACAGGTATTTGACACCGTGGAAGAGTGCAGATGATCCTGCTCCTGGAGAATTTTCTTATGGCATCGATCCTCGTGGGCTTCCACAATTAGTCATTCGTAAGGGCTCTATCAAGAAGTTTCGAAGTGGGCCATGGGATGGTGAGCAATTCAGTGGAATCCTTCTTCTACCCAACCTTCTCTTCGAACCCAAGGTCATCACAGATTCAGACGAGATATATTATGAGTATGGACTCAACAGTGAATCTACTCTTACAAGGTCAGTCTTAAGTTTTTCGGGTTCAGTCCAACGTTATGTATGGAACAATAGTAGCCTTGAATGGATTGCCATGCATGTCTTGCCTAGCAACCCATGTGATAATTATGGCAAGTGCGGTTCAAATAGTATTTGTGCAATCAGTGATGCTAAGATTTGCAGCTGTTTGACTGGATATGTACCCAGGGTAGCACAAGACTGGGAGATGCTGATATGGTCTGGTGGGTGTGTCAGGAAACACCCATTGAATTGTACCAAAGGGGAAGGATTTATAGAGAAGAAGGGTGTGAAATTGCCCGATTTCTTGCAGTTTTGGATCAACACTAGTATGAGCCTTAAGGATTGTGAAATGGAGTGCCTGAAGAACTGTTCTTGTACTGCTTATGCTAATTCAGATGTTACTGGAGGGGGAAGTGGTTGCTTGTTGTGGTATGGGGATCTGATTGATATCAAAAGTTTCACAGAATCTAGTAATCAAAAACTTTACATTCGGGTCACAACTTCAGGTACTTTTTGTCTTGTTTTTTGCTTTCCGATTATACTAAAATCAATTTCACTAACCCCTTAATCTTTCTGGGATTTTTAATATTATTATTATTATTATTATTATTGAATTGGATCATAGACTTGCTGTCAAATTCCAAGAAGATGAAGCCACTGGTTTTGGTGTTCACTGTCATATCAGTAGCTTTAGCAATGTTTGCTGTTGCGTCTTGCATAATATGGAAGGCGAAAGTACGGAAACAAGGTAATTAAACATCATTCTATGGCGGATATTTGATAAAGTTGTAAGATAGAAAGCATCAATGTCCCTAACTCGTTTTCTCAATGACTTATTGAGTTTGGAACTATTACGAATTCTACATATTTTCATCATCTAAACAGGGAATTTTTCAACGAAGTGCTCTAGAATTTTATTCAGAAATAAAGTCCAAGTTGCCAAGAAGTTGAAGTGTATTTCATGTTTATAGTTTGTCCTTTGCTGACTAATGGTTGCTTCAATTGTTAAGTCTCGAAAAAAATGTTCCGAATTGTTTCTTTTTGTAGAAGAGAATGAAAATGTGTTGTATGAAAAACTCCTGGACCATAAACATTCATATATATCATAATTGTGTGAAGTACAGCTGAGTTCTTTTACGTTACTGATTGAAATTGTATTGACCATATTCTTCAAATCCAAGCAACAACCAAATGGCCAAAAGGTCCAGTTTTAAAATTTGGGAAATGTTCTTGTGATAGAAAATAATGTTAGTTCTATATTCCTCAACCTTTTTGTGATTTACAGGTATGCTACCAGATTCTCAAGCCAGAGATGAAGAAAAAATGGAATTACCTATTTTCAATATGAACACCATTTTGGAAGCGACAAACAATTTTTCTGATTCAAATAAGATTGGAGAGGGTGGCTTTGGACCCGTATACAAGGTAATCTCAGTTGAAGTATGCAATTATGATTGAGATGTGTGTGTGTTTGTAGACAGAGAGTTCTTATGTCTGTGTACGCGCGCGTGCTCATTCATGCATCAAGCAAAACTCCAATATTTGGTGTGATAACTGAAAAAGTCTCATGTTAAACTTCAAATTTTACAGGGTCAGCTAAAAACTGGACAAGAGATAGCAGTCAAGAGGCTTTCCGAGAATTCAAAACAAGGGCCGCATGAATTTAAAAATGAGGTTATATTGATTGCAAAACTACAACATCGAAATCTGGTAAGACTTTTGGGATGCTGCATTCAAGGAGAAGAGAAAATTTTAGTTTATGAGTATATGCCCAACGGAAGCTTGAACTCCTTTATTTTTGGTTTGGCTCTCAACCTTTGCTTAAATCGAATTTCATAATAATGCCAAAATAATAATAATAATAATAATAATCACAAAGATGAGTATTAGATAAAGTTGTTTTCTATTTTAACACAATTTTTCTTTTTATATTATTTGAAGGTGGCTCAAATGACACAAGTAATTCTCTTGTATGGAAGAGGCGCTTTGATATTATCATAGGGATTGCTCGAGGGCTTCTTTATCTACATCGGGATTCAAGATTGACAATTATTCATAGGGATCTAAAAGCCAGCAATGTTCTACTTGACAATAATATGAATCCCAAAATCTCAGATTTTGGCATTGCCAGAGCTTTTGCAGGGGATCAATTACTTGCAAAAACTATAAGGGTGGTTGGAACTTAGTAAGTGCTAAATTATTTTTTAAAGATGCATGCATATAAGATAACTTCCGTTGATTTTTATTATTATTTATTTTTCTTATGATGGAACAGTGGTTACATGTCTCCCGAATATGTCATCGATGGCCTATTTTCCATGAAATCAGATGTGTTTAGTTTCGGAGCGCTAGTTTTGGAAATAGTGAGTGGCAAAAGGAACAGACAATTCCATCATCCAGACCATCACCACAACCTTCTTGGACACGTAAGTTCATGGTTACAATAGGTTTTCTTCCTCTTTACAGTTGTTCTATAAGGTTAATTCTTTCATGATATATGATGTGTCAGGCATGGCAATTATGGATTGAAGGGAAGGCCTTTGAGCTAATAGATCCAGAAATGGAGGATTCATTTCCAATGTCTGAAGTACTAAGATGCGTACAGATCGGTCTCTTGTGTGTGCAGCAACACCCCGAAGACAGACCAACGATGTCGTATGTGGTCTCAATGTTTGATAGTGAGGGCACAATGTTGGCCCAGCCTAAGCCACCTGGTTTCTTCACAGATAGAAGCCCTTGTGAGACAGAGTCCATGCTAGGGCAAAGAACTTGTACTATAAATAAGATGACCATTTCTACAGTGGACGGTCGGTAGAAGTAGCATTATATATTATTGAGTTATTGACCCATATGTGTTCGTAGGAGGCATAAAAAGTGAGATTAATTATTTCTTCCACCCTCTCTTACTGAAGCCTTGTCTTAGACTTTAATATGATATGGTAGTTTAGTAGGATCACATACAAATATATTTTAGTGTGATAGTACGGTAGACTCGGGTAAGCTGCTTATATTTGGAATGTATTTGTCCACTTGTGAGTAGGGATGGCAATATCTTCATTTAATTTTTCACCTTATTAACGGTTTCAAAACTCGTCGTCGACGGGTTTTTCAGAGCAGCTCCTATCTCGTCCTCATTTACATAATTTGTTCTCCAAAATCGCCCCAAACGGCGTGGGGTCTTGCCAGGGTAGGGATTTTTGCCTTCATTTATCGCAGTTATTCTTTTTTCACAAGATTTACAACATGAAACGAAATGAGGGTTAAGGTTACCTATTTTAGTAATATATTATAATATGTAAAGGTAATTTAATAAATTTATAGTATATTCGGTGCAAGGCAACTCTCCTCCAAAACCTGCTAGGTTTTTCAGAACATTCTTCATTCCCGTCTCCATTCATAAAATCGGGTAAGCATGTATCTCTACAATGTAAGCATGTATTACAACATCTTTGTTACCCAGGTGTTTAGATAAAAAGGCAAACGGTGCAATTCCAAAAGCTAGTCATAGGCCCATATGAACATTGCAAGCTACGAAAACTTATTACCTACCAGATGAAAATATAACTTCTCAAATAGGAAAATATTTTGTTTAGGTATTTAGAATACATGAAAGAACTCCAAAATATTATATTAAATCATGTAAAAAGGAAGAAGAAGAAGAAAAAGAGAGAAATTATCTATAAGAAAACATTTCTAAAAATTATATGAAAGTATGTGGAAATATGTAAAATTGGGGGCAGAAATTGCACTTAAAGATCTTAATCAAATACAAATACCTAGTTGGCTGTATTCAGCTGCATCGAATTGAAGTTTCGGAATTGAATAAAATTTTAATCCAAATTTTTGAGTATCATCCACGTCTCATTTAAATTGGGTAGAACATATGAATATCCCAATATGGGCCTCCCCATTGAACAGGCCTTCAATTCATTGCACTAATTTAACAGGCCTGCCTTTAGATAACGCATGAGTTACCATTTTGATCGACAGTTGGGTATATAATAAGTTATGGGGTCTCTGGTTTGCTAGACTAGACACACAGTCACACACTGATTTAACGAACAAAACCCTAGAAAGCACATCAAACGTTGCTCTCTCTATCTCTACAAAAATTTGGAAATAGAATGCGTCCAAGTGTAGCTAGATCCAAGGAAGCACCTGCAGAGAGGTCCATTCTTGGTCGATTCTCATCTCACCTCAAGATTGGAATTGGAATTTCCCAACATCTTTCTGTTTTATTTGTTCATTTCTTATCTAATTTGGTTACTTTCTGTTTGGCCACCGAGAAAGCGTGGGGAATGAAATAATTATTTATTTATTTTTCTAAGTTTTATCATTATATATATATATATATATATATATATATATATATAAAGGACCTCAGAAATCTTCCATCTCCACATAAAATTCGATCCCACATCGCAGGTCAAACCTTGTTTTCCTTTCTCGCACAGTTTTTCTTCTTTTCAATTTAATGCACACTTGGACTACGTAAAGGCATGACATGAATTGGTAAAATTTGTTATACCAGTAATGGAGGTGCTTAAAATTGAACTAACCATGTTTAGATTACAAATTATCTTCATTAACCGTCCTGATGTGATGTGTTGCCATGAGTTTGCTAAAAAATAATAATAATAATAATAATAATTGCTAGGAGTGACTAATTGACATTTAATTCTCTTTCCACATGCCGTGTTACACATCTGGACTTGACAAATTATGCAATAAAGATGTTAAATTTGACTATAGATTTTGTTTACCAGATCTCAGAAAATTTGGGAGACGAGCAAAGCTCAATGACCATAAATTAGTTAGGAAATGATAATATAATAGGCATAGCATCAAAACACTCACAACTGTTCTTGTCAATGGGTATACACTTCTTTGCTATATTCAATTACATTTTTGCTTTCATATTTTTGTACCTTACAGATATCTCCTTAGCAGATGATCATCTAAGTCAATACCAGTCAATCAATGGAACCATGACCTTAGTATCTGCCGGAAAAAAGTTCCGGCTTGGCTTCTTCAGTCCCACCAATTCCAGAAACCAATACTTGGGAATATGGTTTGACAGCATCCCAACTCAAACTGTAGTCTGGGTTGCAAACCGCGATAACCCGCTTAATGATTCATCAGGAATTCTGAAGATTGGTAATGATGGAAATTTGATTCTTCAAGACCATACAGAAAGAGTTGTCTGGTCTACTAATATTATCAAGGAGGATTCATCATCAAAATCAAGTAGTGTTGCACAGCTCTTAGACTCGGGAAATCTTGTTTTGAGACATGAAAGCAGAGATGGTTATATTTGGCAAAGCTTTGATCATCCTTGCGATACCCTGCTAGCAGGGATGAAGCTAGGAAGGGATTCAAAAAATGGTTTGGACCGGTATTTGACACCTTGGAAGAGTGCAGGTGACCCTTCTCCCGGAGAATTTACCTATGGCATTGATTCTCGTGGGTTTCCACAATTTTTCATTCGTAAGGGTTCTATCAAGAAGTTTCGAAGTGGATTGTGGAATGGTGAGCAATTCAGCGGGGTCCTTTTCAATCCAAGCGTCCCATCATTCCCAAGTTCATCACAAATTCAGAGGAGATGTATTCTGAGTATGATGTGGAGAATGAATCTACTCTTACAAGGTTTGTCTTAACTATTTCGGGTTCAATCCAACGTTCTGTATGGAACAATATCAGCCTTGCATGGATTGTCATGCGTGGTTGGCCTAATGACCCATGTGATATTTATGGCCAGTGTGGCTCAAATCAGTTATGATAGGATTTGCAGCTGTTTGACTGGATGTGTACCCAGAGTAGCACAAGATTGGGAGATGACGATTTGGTCTGGTGGGTGTATGAGGAAACAACCATTGAATTTTTCATAAGGAGAAGGATTTATAGAGATAAAGGGGATCAAAATGCCGATTCCTTGGAGTTTAGGATCAATGCTAGTATGAGCCTTAACGATTGTAAACTGGAGTGCTTGAAGAACTGTTCTTGTACAGCTTATGCTAATTCAGATGTTACTGGAGGGGGAAGTGGTTGCTTGCTGTGGTATGGGGACTTGATTGATATCAAACGGGTAATAGAATCTAGCAATCAAAAATTATACATTCGGGTTACAGCTTCTGACCTAGGTATATTTCTCTTGTTTTTTAGTTTAAGATTACACTAAAATCAAGTTGATTAACCCGTTAATCTTTCTTGGATTGTTTTTCTAATTGAATTGTTTTGTAGAATTAATATCAAATTCCAAGAAGATCAAGACACTGGTGTTGGTGATGATTGTTGTATCAGTAGCTATAGTAATGCTTCTTGTTGCTTCTTGCATAATATGGAAGAAGAAAGCACGGAGACAAGGTAAAGTTACAACGTTTATTGCAAAGATCTAACTTTTTAAGTACTTAAGAATTTTATTCAAAAGTAAAAGTCCAAGCTGCCAGCAAATTTAAGTGATTTTCTTGTTTATAATTGTACTTTCGCTGACTAATGGTTGCTTCAATTGAAAAGTCTCAAAGACAAGTTATGAATTGCATTTTTGTATAAGAGCAGAAAAATGAAAATGTGTTTTATGCAAACTTCCTAGCATAACATTCAGATTATAATTTGTACTTTCGCTGCATCAATTGAAAAGTCTCAAAGACAAGTTATGAATTGCATTTTTGTATAAGAGCAGAAATATGAAAATGCGTTTTATGCAAACTTCCTAGCATAACATTCACATTATAAATGTATAGACTACAGCAGAGTATTTTTATTGCAGTGATTAAAACTTTATTGACCATATTCTGTTTTGGAAGTTTGAAAATTTTGGGGATTTATTTTGACCATATTCTTCAGATCAAAACTGGCCAAATGGTCCAGTTTTATGTTTGGAAATTTTCTTATTATCCAAAATAATATGAGTTCTATATTCCTGAACCTATTGTGATTAATAGGAATGCTATCAGAGTCTCAAGCCAGAGATGAAGAAAATATGGAATTACCTATTTTCAATATGATCACCATCGCGGAAGCAACAAACAATTTTTCTGATTTAAATAAGATTGGAGAGGGTGGCTTTGGACCTGTATACAAGGTAATCTCAGTTGAAGTATGTAATATGATTAACATGTGGTGCGTGTATATGTGCAGAGAGAATGTTCTTGTGTATCTGTGCTAGACAAGGTAATCTCAAGTTGAAGTATTTAATGATTAACATATGGTGTGTGTGTGTGGAGAGAGTTTCTTGTGTATGTGTGGTCGTTCATGTATGAAACAAAACTCCAATCTTTGGTGTGATAGCTGAAAAAGTCTTATATTAAAATGATTTTACAGGGTCAGCTAGCATCTGGACAAGAGATAGCAGTGAAGAGGCTTTCAGAGAATTCAAAACAAGGACTCTGTAACGACCCGAACCCATGGATCCGGACTGTTACCCGGGTCCTTACCCTAACCCGAGGTCAACTAGGTCATACACTCCATTTCCTATGTTCAAACTCGTCATAAGACTCACTCCGGGGCTCGGAATACTCAAGGACATAAGCTGGCAATGCTGCTCAAACATTACAGGTCAAAAGGAGCAGTCAGCCGGCTGATAGCCCATGGTCGGCCGACTGCCAAGACAGGATCGGTCGACCAACAAGGCAAGATCGGTCGGCCGAAACAATGACAAAGAAAAGTGCTCTCGGGACTTTCACTGTGCAGGCCATCGGTCGACTGAAGATTGGGGTTTTGTAATACCTCTAGTTTTAAAAATGATATAATTGGAATTTTATTTTATTATTTTATTGCTACGTGGCTAGGTGTTTAATTGGTTTCGTGTTTTATGTTTAAATGAATTAGGTGTTGTGTGAATTTATTTGTTAATTGATTTTCATGATTTATGTGTTTAATTGAAAGTATTATTAGTAATGTATTAAACAATGGGATTTAATTTAATGGTTTATTTAATTAAATTATTTAACTATTGTTTAATTAATAACTGCATTAGTTAGATCACATTAGGGTTTTGTATTTGTATATTACGTGATCACGTTAGCGGTTTTGGCCGACTAGAATTGACTTAGGGTTTTCTGTCTCCAATTATAAGTGGACTAGGGTTTCATAGTAGCCTATTTAAAGAACAGTGTGTTGGCCAAGGGTTTGTAAAAAAAAAAAAAAAAAACTCAGTTTCCGGACAGAGAGATAGAGAGAAACAGAGAGAAATAAAGAGAGGACGGCTGGGGTTTTGGCTTAGGCTAAGACTGAATCAAGGAAAGTAATTTGACGTATGCTCGTGGGTGAACTAGGAGCAGCAGAGGTCGGTAAAAACAACTAAGATTGTCGGAGTTGCTAGATACGGCAGTTTAGGATTTCTAAAAGGAATCAGAGGCAAGTTCTGTTTTGTCTCTTTCCCTTTGCCATGTGTTCTGTGCATACCTAGATGATCTTTAGGATATTAAACAGTTATTAATTGAATCTATGTTTTATATATATTGAATTGCTCGTCTCTGTATGTTTAAATTTATTCTGGAATTGGTTACAAATTTGGGTTTCAGTTTTGAACATAAAACATGATGAAATGGTAATTGATTTTGGAGTTCTTTCTACTGCAAACTAATTTAAATAAAGGACTTGTCACGCCCCGAATTTTCAAATAAAATCATCAATTTATTCAAATACAAATACATCAAAATACACCCAGGATCCCAAAAATAATGCTGTCTTTTATACAAAGTCAATTTCCTCAAATATACAAAAAAATCTCCAAAATAAATAAAATAAATCCTCCACGCCAACTCTTTAGCCTAAGCCCGAATCTACGATCCCCGTCCATCTTCGGTACCTAAAACTGGAGGGTGGTGAGACTGAAAGTCCCAGTAAGAAAAACCATAACAAGAATTTCATGGAGGTTTAACAAAACAGCTTTACAACATAAACATATACAGGTGAGTATAACAAAATAAATATGCATTTAATCAAAACATTTCATAAAACATTTAATCAAAACCTCCCCATGCCATTCAAGGTATAGAGAACCCTACACTGAAAAAGTATTTCCTCACTGGATCATCAAGTTTTCAAGCTTCCGCTGCGCCCTCTGTAACTCTCGACACACTCACTGACTGCTCAAACTCTCTCTGTCATCACTCTATTTTTCTCTCTCTCAACTCTCTGTCTCAACTCTCTGTCTAATTTCTCCCTGTTATTCACACAAACTGAAAGCACACACATACTCAGCTTTTAAAGACTTTTCCACCGACACAATATATCTCACTATACAAAAAAAATCTCATTCCAATACGTGAACATCATTTCCATTCCAATACAATCTCACTCTATCAGACCAAACCCACGTGAACATCATTGATTTTTGGCAAAATAAATCCTTATGGGCTCCACCAAAATCATTATAATTGCCATTTTTCAATATTCTTTTTATTTCGGCCAGTCCACCTTTTTCTTTTTCCTTTTGCCACCCATCACCTACTTATCTAGAACACAAAATATATATACAATATATATAAAATAAACCAAATGAAAGACTCATTCTCTCACCTTTCCTCCAACAAACCCACGTGCAAAAAGAACCAAAGTCAAAAGTTGCCAAAAAGCTTCCCAAATGATATATATATATATAACAAATCAAAATTCAAAACCCACTAATTTTAATAAATAAATAATTAATTTAAACAGTCTAAAATTCATAAAATAATTAAATTAAAATTTCACAAATTCAGGTCACCACAATCTCCGCCACTTAAAAATAATTTCGTCCCCGAAATTCAAATCCAACAGTCTGTAAACCCAAAAACACCAATAACCAAAAAACCAAATCCAAATCCTTACCCCAGGCGATGTGAGATATAATGATATGTAGGACGTTGTGGTAGCTGACAGTGCTAGTCACCCGCCCACACACTCCGTAACCGTTGTGGTAGCTCGTCGATGCGTCACCCGCCCACTGAAAAAAAACAAACAATAACAAATCTGGGCTACCTGCCCAACCACACTAACCAACCATCCCAATAGCTGCCGGTGAACGCCATCCGCCCACACACACCCGGTACGAGTGGTAGCTCACCAGTCCTACACATTCGCCCACTCACACCCGTCTACATCATCACTATACTCACACTTCCGGTTGGGTACAAGCTCTGATACCATTTTGTCACACCCCGAATTTTCTAATTAAATCATCAATTTATTCAAATACAAATACATCAAAATACACCCAGGATCCCAAAAATAATGCCGTCTTTTATACAAAGTCAATTTCCTCAAATATACAAAAAAATCTCCAAAATAAATAAAATAAATCCTCCATGCCAACTCTTCAACCTAAGCCCGAATCTACGATCCCCGTCCATTTTCGGTACCTGAAACTAGAGGGTGGTGAGACTGAAAGTCCCAATAGGAAAAACCATAGCAAAAATTTCATAGAGGTTTAACAAAACAGCTTCACAACATAAACATATACAGGTGAGTATAACAAAATAAATATGCATTTAATCAAAACATTTCATAAAACATTTAATCAAAACCTCCCCATGCCATTTAAGGTATAGAGAACCCTACACTGAAAAAGTATTTCCTCACTGGATCATCAAGTTTTCAAGCTTCCACTGCGCCCTCTGTAACTCTCGACACACTCACTGACTGCTCAAACTCTCTCTGTCATCACTCTATTTCTCTCTCTCTCAACTCTCTATCTCAACTCTCTGTCTAATTTCTCCCTGTTATTCACACAAACTGAAAGCACACACATACTCAACTTTTAAAGACTTTTCCACCGACACAATATATCTCACCGTACAAAAAAAATCTCATTCCAATACGCTTAACCAAACCCACGTGAACATCATTTCCATTCCAATACAATCTCACTCCATCAGACCAAACCCACGTGAACATCATTGATTTTTGGCAAAATAAATCCTTATGGGCTCCACCAAAATCATTACAATTGCCATTTTTTAATTTTCTTTTTATTTCGGCCAGTCCACCTTTTTCTTTTTCTTTTTGCCACCCATCACTTACTTATCTAGAATACAAAATATATATACAATATATATAAAATAAACCAAATGAAAGACTCATTCTCTCACCTTTCCTCCAACAAACCCACGTGCAAAAAGAACCAAAGTCAAAAGTTGCCAAAAAGCTTCCCAAATGATATATATATATATATATATATATATATATATATATATATATATATATATGTACAAAAAATCAAAATTCAAAACCCACTAATTTTAATAAATAATTAATTAATTTAAACAGTCTAAAATTCATAAAATAATTAAATTAAAATTTCACAAATTCAGGTCATCACAATCTCCGCCACTTAAAAAGAATTTCGTCCCTGAAATTCGAATCCAACAGTCCGTAAACCCAAAAACACCAATAACCACAAAACTAAATCCAAATCCTTACCCCAGGCGATGTGAGATATAATGATATGTAGTACGTTGTGGTAGCTGACAATGCTAGTCACCCGCCCACACACACCGTAACCGTTATGGTAGCTCGTCGATGCGTCACCCGCCCACTAAAAAAAAATGAACAATAACAAATCTGGGCTACCTACCCAACCACACTAACCAACCATCCCAGTAGCTGCCGGTGAACGCCATCCCCCCACACACCCGGTACGAGTGGTAGCTCACCAGTGCTACACACTCGCCCACTCACACCCGTCTACATCATCACTATACTCACACTTCCGGCTGAGTACAAGCTCTGATACCATTTTGTCACGCCCCGAATTTTTCAATTAAATCATCAATTTATTCAAATACAAATACATCAAAATACACCTAGGATCCCAAAAATAATTTCGTCTTTTTTACAAAGTCAATTTCCTCAAATATACAAAAAAATCTCTAAAATAAATAAAATAAATCATCCACGCCAACTCTTCAGCCTAAGCCCGAATCTACGATCCCCGTCCATCTTCGGTACCTAAAACTTGAGGGTGGTGAGACTAAAAGTCCCAGTAGGAAAAATCATAACAAGAATTTCATGGAGGTTTAACAAAACAGCTTCACAACATAAACATATACAGGTAAGTATAACAAAATAAATATGCATTTAATCAAAACATTTCATAAAACATTTAATCAAAACCTCCCCATGCCATTTAAGGTATAAAGAACCCTACACTGAAAAAGTATTTCCTCACTGGATCATCAAGTTTTCAAGCTTCCGCTGCGCCCTCTGTAACTCTCGACACACTCACTGACTGCTCAAACTCTCTCTGTCATCACTCTATTTTTCTCTCTCTCAACTCTCTGTCTCAACTCTCTGTTTAATTTCTCCCTGTTATTCACACAAACTGAAAGCACACACATACTCAGCTTTTAAAGACTTTTCCACCGACACAATATATCTCACCGTACAAAAAAAATCTTATTCCAATACGCTTGACCAAACCCACGTGAACATCATTTCCATTCCAATACAATCTCACTCCGTCAGACCAAACCCACGTGAACATCATTGATTTTTGGCAAAATAAATCCTTATGGGCTCCACCAAAATCATTATAATTGCCATTTTTCAATTTTCTTTTTATTTCGGCCAGTCCACCTTTTTCTTTTTCCTTTTGCCACCCATCACCTACTTATCTAGAACACAAAATATATATACAATATATATAAAATAAACCAAATGAAAGACTCATTCTCTCACCTTTCCTCCAACAAACCCACGTGCAAAAAGAACCAAAGTCAAAAGTTGCCAAAAAGCTTCCC